GAATTCGGTGGTAACTTTTGGAGGGGTCCTGGGGCTACAGCCAAGGTTTGGGATGCAACCTCAGGAGGTATCCCTTCATCTTATTATGGGAAAAGTGTTCCATATCTGAAAACAGTCTAGTTGAAATAGGCCTGACCCCTAACAGAAGCAATATTGGATGAAAGAAGTCAACTGGTTAATATACTTGTGTACAGTCAGATGGGTGTGGAAGAAAGAGCTCCTTCAACGTATTCGGGGTCTTAGCAATTTGAGGCCTTAAAGACAAGCATCAGCACTGAGTTGGTCCTGGAAAGGGTTGGGGAAATTTCTGGGCTACAACCTCTGTAGGGAAGGCCAGTCAAAGCTGATTGCTGCAGCCAGCACAAGTGCAAGCAGAGCTGTTATATGGATCTTGTCGTTGTGCTGTTGTGCAGAACTGACAAATTCCCCTTGCCTTGCGGTCATCGTGGCCTGCCAGGATAGTCCAGGCTAGTTCCTTAGACAAGCAAAACTTCTCAGGGTCACCCGTTTTGAAAAGGATGTTTCCTAGGAGAAGGTTTGCAGTCATCCGAGTGGGTGGCCTTCACCCACTCTTGTGGCTTGGATCCCTGGCTTGAGTCATTCTGAACTGCTTGATGGCTGTCTTCACATAGCATACTTAATCAGGATAATTACAAACTAGCGAATGCTGCATTCACGCCACATAGCACTCACTGCGCTCAATTAGCTTCAAGCTCGGTTGGAGTTTTTTATGGAGAGTTAGTGTGTTGGGTTAATCCATTGGTTGATTCATGGCTCGGTATGTGGTATGAAGGCAGAAAATGGGTTTATTCAGTAACCAGTTTCAATGGATAGTGTCAATATTGCCCCAGTTGAAGTAATAGGTGAGGCCTTCCAGCTCGCTGGTTGAGTGCATGCTTAAAAGATGGATGGGAAATCTTTGGGCCCTCCACAAGTCTTACTCTCCAACTCCCATTAACTCTGCTGTCCACTGGGGACAATGGGAGTTGGAGTGCAATAAGGCTAGCATCAGGCTCCCCATTTTATTTATTTATTTATTTATTTATTTAATCACATTTATATGGCCACTCCTCTCACAAGAAGCGATTCTGGGCAGCATACAACGGCTGGGCCATTCCAAGTTGCAAAATCTACAGGGGCTGAGGCCAATTCTCAGCTGGATGAATCTGCAACTTCACTTGGTCTGAGGCCATCCTAGTATTGGAGAGATGCCATTTTCCTGCGGGGCCCCTCTTTTCTGCTTATGGCGATTGCGTGGGTGAGTCAGGAAAGGAGAGTGGAAACTGTGCTTGCATGGTGCTGATGAAGGTGTCTCCTCTTCGGCTCAGCCAGATGCATCCCTTCTCACCTTGATGGGCTTCCGGCTTGAGGGCATCTTACCAGCAACTCTGCTGCCCCTGCTGCTGACCGTGGTAAGTGTGGCTCACGTCGCTATAACCTTGCAGTGACGCCACGGACATTAATGACTGTTTTTTTAAAAACTAGCTAGCAACCTGTGTTTTCATGAAGGCTGTTCTTGAGAGGAAACCTTCCTCTTCCATGGCTGGTGCCGGATGCTGTTTCATAGAATGCTACTGGGGAAGAAAATTGAATGTCCCACCCAATCAGATGGTGGTTTGAAAACAGGAAGAGAGGGACCTCTTTGGCTTTGTTCATGGGCAGGATGAGGACAGAGCGTGCTAGCAGGGAAGAAATAGGGGAGAGTCCCACCCCCTGCCAGCTCACACATTCACCTACATGGAATTTTTGATCCCTTCTGATGACAGATGAATTAAGAAAGTCCAGGCTGTTTTGGAAACGTCCACATCAAATAACTCTAAGAACCTTTCCAGCTTGGACAGTTTTCCAGTGTGTTTCAGTAGTGATTAAAAATACGCGCTTTTATTTTTTAATTTTTCACTCTTCCAAGAACATGCAGTGCTCTTATTTCCATCCATTGCAGCAAACAAGGAATGAAAACGTAAATCTGAAGTTTGTCCACGCTGTTAGATTTCAGGAGAGGAGGTCAAAATCTGACCAAGCTAAGAATTGTTAAGAGTAGTTTTTGTTTCAATCAGAATAGGCAGGTTTTTAGAATGTGCCTGTGAAAATGGTTTACTGTCTTCCCAGATCTTATTTCTTGGCCCCCTTATCCAACTGTCAATGGACTGTCCCTGGGACCTGGTAGATGGATTAAAAGTTGCATTTGGTAAGGATCTGCTGATTGGCTTTGCACTAAGATAATAGAGAGGCTAGAGAATATTATTTTACTATGGGGTGGACAAATATTTTTGGGCCATGGGCCATGTTTTCTTAGGGTGGGTATGTGTACTCTGTGTTTCTGTGGAAGGGGAGTGACTTTGATTGTAGGTGGAATCAGGGCACTCTATGGACGGAGGCTAGCTTTGTACGTTCCTCTGTCTATGTATATTTGCCTGGTTAGTTGCTAAATTCAGGATAGATTGTCCTCATTCTGAATGTACAACTTGCAGAGAGTTTTAAAATTAAATCGAGGGCCGTGGTTTTTCCATCCTTCCTCGAAGGCAAAAACGATTCCCTCAATCTTCCCAAATTTTAGGGTGCTCTGCCTGGAGCAGGCAAGTAGCTTGAAACACTGAGAGCGTAACAGGCATTTCCTCTTAATGCTGCAAGTCCCACTGAAGTTAATGGGGGTTGTTTTTGTAGAGGCGTGCATTGGATGGAATCGTTTTGTCCTTTTATTAGATGGAACCAGGTCCTACTTGGAGCCTGGCTTTCTGAGCCCCTGCAAAATGTACAGATGGGTTTAAGTTAACTCAGTTTATCTGTGCAGTTTCAGGAAGCACCTATTTAGGATTCCAATGCATGCTTGCCGGTTTTTGCTTGAGTGTTTCCTTTTTGTGGTTAATAAGGGAAAGGATCTAAGTCAGTGTTTCTCAGCCTTAGCAACTTTACATTATGTGGACTTGCACTCCCAGAATTCCCCAGCCAGCCATGCTGGCTGGGGAATTCTGGGAGTGGAAGCCCACTCATCTGAAAGTTGCCAGGGTTGAGAAACACTGGTCTAACTAGTTAATTCTTGGTGGCAATTCTGATTATCCTATCACAGCCTCCTAAACTTGACTTCATGGGCACTGCCTTGTTTTTCTGCCTCCCTCCCTGCTCAAGAGATCGAGGAGTGGGGAGGGGTGTCAGTAACACTGCTTATACTCCCCCTCAGACCCCAGTTTTTGGGTTCTCTGCCTCACCGACATGCGCTGGCTCCGCAACCAGGTCATCGCGCCTTTCACCGAAGAGCTGGTGTTCCGGGCCTGCATGGTGCCCATGCTGGTCCCCTGCACGGGGGTGGGTCTGGCCGTCCTAACCTGCCCCCTCTTCTTCGGAGTCGGTGAGTTCTGCGTCTTCAGCAAGAGGATACAAGCCGTGAGCCAACTGCTTGTTCTTTGCTCTTCCCTTCTGTACGTGGCTGCAACCTTCTGTTGAAGCTAAACTCTTTAAGGCTGGGGGGCACACTTAGAGTGGGTAGGTCAAAAAATGTCTTCTCTGGGAAGGCTGGTTCCTTCTCCAAGCGGCTGCCATAGTTGCTAAACCCCCATTTACCAGAAGGCAAACAGGCAAATGCTTGCAATGGGATGATGTGCCAATGCCTTTCCTCTTGGGAGGCGGGCCCCCTGCCTGCGGGCCTTCCTTTGGGCCCTGAACCGGCCTGAAAATAAAAGGGGATGCTGGAGGTTGCTCCTTTGCTTTCCACCTGCTTGCTTTATTCATTTCCTTTTTGTCTTCATTAAATCTAACTGAAATGAACTCCAGTGGGATAGGGAACCAAGGCACTGGGGCAACGGACGTTGCCTATCAGTGGGCTCAGCTATGAAGCTCCTGTTCCAACCTTGCTTCGAGTAGCCTGCTGATTTGGAAACCTGTTGGAAGCCAAAGCCCCCAGAGCTAGGTTGCAACCTGTCGCTAAATTTCAAGAAGCTAAAGAGAATCACACCTCCAGAAAACCATAAATCTGTAGGCTTAACTGGAAGGCTGAAAAACCATTCTGGAAGGCAACAGTCGCTCGCATCCATGCTGTTGCCAAGCAAACGCCATGGACGGAGTCAGCAAGAATCAGGCTTGACTCGAAGGAGACTAATTTTAATCTGGAACTAGGATGCTCGCAAGACGCTTTTGCCACTGGCTGACTCGGCCGGTAAAGAACTCTGCTCCTCGGACAGGGAATGAAATAAAGCTCGGGAGAGCACGAGGCCCGTGTTTTGCCAAGGTGCTTACATGTCTCAATTGTTTTTCTTTCCGCAGCTCATTTTCATCACGTTATAGAGCAGCTGCGGTTCCGCCAAGGAAGCCGAGCCAGTATTTTCCTCTCAGCAGGTAGGGATCTGTCCCCGCCTGTGCCACCGCTGAAGGGAGCAAGGCAGGGGGACGTGGGTTGGCGGCTCCCGAGAAAAACATCACCGTTTTGGCAAAAAAATCCAAAGCTAAATGGTGGGGAAGAGGCTTAAACCAGACCATTATGGATGGATTTTTGTTTTGAGCTTGTTGCTGCTGACATATTAAAAGGAAAAAGGTGAATTACTGCCATTGGCTGCTCTCACACAACGTGCTCCATCTTGTCAGATAAAGATCGGTCAGATGCCTCTGCACAAACCAATTTACTATTAATGTGGTTCATTTTTTGTAGATTAGTGTATTGTGGGAATCCTGCCTGGCTGGTTATTTTATACATTAAGTGAACCCAGAAAACAGGTCAACTTGGTAGCCATTTGACTAGTGTGTTGCATGAAGGCCGGCATTATGGAGTGAGTTGTTCTATGCGTTACTCGGAAGACAAAGCCTGGGACGTTCCTTAAAGACGAAAGCGAACAGAGAAATGGTGTTCTCTTCATAGATGCTTTCCCCAAAGCACTTCTTTTGTATGTAGGAAATTAAGAGATCTTACTTTTGCCTATGTCTTAAATTGGATATCTATCTATTGTCGCTTGTGACAATTTCCAATTCAACTGGCCTAAAGTTGGTCTGGTCAGAATGCAGAGAAGTTTTTTGTATTGGATTTCCTGATCCCTGCCCCCTCTGCACAGCACGCACATGCGCGTGCGCACACACACACACTTCTAACCAGCTGCTCCCTTCCCCTGCAGTGTTCCAGTTCTCCTACACAGCGATTTTTGGAGCCTACACTGCGTTCCTCTTCATCCGAACAGGTTGGTGAGGGGTTGGGCGCCCTGCTTTTGTTCCCATCACTCTCTCCCTGTTACTTCAGGGCCATGTTTGCACGCAAAAGGCAAGTTTCCTCTCCCGTTACCCACTGCGAGCCTCTGAAAGTCCCCTTTAAGGCCATAGTTGGGAATGATGGCGATTTCAGATGTGAGACTGAGAGGGAGAGGATGCTCAGCTTCTCTGCCAATGGCAGTGAGTGGTCACACCCTGACTCTGAACAGAGGTGTTCCTCCCCTTTCTATCAGTGGGGAGGAGGCTAATCTGGTATTAATGCAAGGAGGATGGATGGGTGGGTGGTAAGATAGACGTGTCACAGCTTAGCATGCTGTGTGCGCTAACCCTTTGCCTCTTCCTTTGCAATCCTTTTTCTTATATGCAAAATGATTAATCAGAACAGTTTGTCTCATCTGCCTCCCGGCTAAAACTCTTCAGAGCGGCGATTGTCTAGCTTGGTTGGAGGCGTTATTAGTCCATGTGACACCACTGGGAGGTGGCTTTTCCACCAAGTCCCCTTGTTTCCTCTCTGCACGGAGGAGGGTGGTGATTTTTGTTTCACTGTCCTGCTCTCTCCGCACAGGACACCTCATTGGGCCCGTCCTCTGCCACTCCTTCTGCAACTACGTCGGATTCCCTGCGGTGGGCGCAGCGCTGGAGCACCCACAGCGTTTCCTGGTGGCCTTCTTCTACCTGCTGGGTGTGGCTCTCTTCCTCCTCCTTCTCCTCCCCATGACGGACCCGGCTTTCTTTGGACACCTGCCGATCTGCTCCCTCTCCAGATTGACCTCTCCTGCAAACAGCCTCAGGAGCTCGTCCTTGTGCTCCTGACACCCAGCTGGGACCTCTGCTGCGCACACACCCTCGGGTCCCTGGGGTGCACAGAAGGCAACACTCCACGCCCAAACTGGTTTCCAGATGCTCTTCATCTCCCAGCTCTTCCGCCTTTCTGCCCTGCAGCTGGGAAGGGCCGGAGCTCTGCGGTCCTCAGAGAGGCTCGTCACCTAAATGCGTCTGCAATGGACGTGTAGCCGTGCCGGCATTCTTGCACACCTCCACCCTGAGCCAGCCAGCCCTTTTTCTAGATCCCCGGGGTCCTTTTCCTCCAGGCCCTAAAGAGTTCTATTTTTTATTAATAAAGTACTTTAAGGAGGCCCCTTTGTTGGTTTAATGGACTGGGGCAAGATCCCCCCCAAATGGTGCCTGGCATGTCTGTCTGTTTCTCAATCAGATTTCTCATTTGAATCAGCGCTCTGAGACCCTGGAAGGACTGCCCACCGGTAGGTCCTGGCAAACGGGCTCCTGAGCGGCCAAAGCCAATCGCTGGATGGAGAGGCCTCTTGCTCAGTATTCCAACTTGTGAGGTGCCCACGGCATCGGGAAGGAGGCAGAGTATTGTCTTCCTCTGCAAGCAGCCAGTACCCGGAGGGCATAAACCGCGGGCTCATTCGAAAGCCAAAGGGAGCCATGGGGCATCTCCGGATCTGCTGGCGGAAGGGGGGGTGTGCATCTGTTCATAGCAGCCTTACACCAAGCTCAGAGAGATCCATTTTGGCTAGGTGGCCGTTCCTTTCAGCTTGTAGGAGCTTTTTACTACGTTCCCTCCCGCCACTTCTGCCATTCCCCCGTCGGCCTCCCAAGAACAAAAGACCTCTACCACAGATGGGTCTCCAGTGTGTGGTGTTTATTGGTGCCATGCCCTGCCCTGCTTCCTTGGGAGCCCATCATGCCAGCCCCAGTGATAATTTGGACAGTGTCCACATTCTCAAGCCCTCGCAGGTACACCAGGGCTGTTTTTCGGTACTCGGCAAGAGAGGCTTTGGGGGCTGAGGGAGCCGGGCGGAAGGAAGGGTTCTAGCGTGGAGGCAGGGCAGAGCAGAGCCTGGGGAAGTGTGCCTGGCGCAGGAGCAAAGAACAGACACAGCAGCTTCTATGCAGGACAGGACAGGACAGAGATGGTTTTCTGACCAAGACCACCCTGGATCCACCGGCTGTGGCTCGTGGGTGGAGATGGAGGATCTCATGACCTTTTGCCCAGCAGTTGGGGGACATGTGGGGAGGGGGCTACTATTGCATGCACCCCTCTTCCTTGGGCACAAGACTTGAATTGTGTGAGCTCCCTGAAAGGGAGGGGGGATCGTTCTGCTCCCACATGCCTTTTCTGGTTAGGGGGCTCGGGGGAGGGAATCACAGGTCGCTCTCCCCATACAGGGCGTTGGAGAAGGAAACATAGTCCAAGGCGCCTGTCACGGTATCGGCTCCCATGTACTTGGTCATCCTGGTGATGCAATACTCGGCCTGCTCTGGCGGCAGTTCCCGGCGCAGCTCTTCTATTGTGATGTAGTTCTGCGGGGGGAGCCAAAGGAAGACCCACCGGTTAGAAGGCGAGCGAGGCCTGCAGCTCAGTGCCTGTTGCGCATGAGACGGCCCGAGGACCCATCTGGCGTCCCCCATTCGGGCTAGACCAGCCTTCCCTGAGATGGTGCTCTCCAGCTGCGCTGCTAGGGTTGAAGTCAACACATCTGGGAGGGCACCAGGTTGAAGGAGATGAGCATGGCCAGCCCTAGGTCTGAAGCCCTCTTGTAAGAGTGGTGTAATGGAGTTGCCTAGAAATGCCTAGTTTGGGGGTCTATCATGCGGCAGGGTGGTGATGCCAGGCTCTGCTGGCTGGCTAGGCCCACCTGTCAGGCTGCTACCTGTGGGCCTCCTTTCGGCTGCCAGGAGAGGGCTGCAATACAGAGAAGCCTATCATTATTAACTCCTTCATCTCCTGCCCCAGTGATGCAGAGCTGGCCCGCCAGAAATCGTATAGAGTGAGGGCTCATTAAGTAGCAATCAGGCTGAAGCCAGGCTGGCTGGGAATTCTAGAGATTGTAGAACAGGTTTGGGAAAGGGCGCCTTGGGCTTTCTCATTCTGGACAGAAAGCCTTTTCGGTGCTGGGGAAAGAAGGAAACAGATATGGTAAAAAAAAACAAAAAACAAAAAACAGCTAACGGGCTGACTCCCAGGTGCTAATTCTCTTCTTCGGCAGGAGACAAGCTACTCTAGGCTTAATTGTGCCTGTAATAAGAGGCCCTTTCAAGGCTGCTGTGGGAAGGACAGAATTCTGCCCTTCCCAACCCATCTCCTCCTCCTCACCGGGGCAACGCTTACCTTGTCTGAAGCTAGGATCTTGAAGGACGCAATGACCTGCTCAGCTGTGTCGGTCTCGGCTGTCTCACGGGTCATGAAGTCAATGAAGGCTTGGAAAGTCACCACGCCTGTATTGTTGGGATCCACCAGTGTCATGATGCGTGCGAACTCCACTTCGCCCTAGGAGCAAGAGGAACGATCACCGATGGGTGGATTCGCTCCCGAGTTCAGACAGATCTGCAGTCCCAGAGCAGGACAGCTCAAAACCGCCCGGCACGGGTTCCCCGGCTTCATAGATTTTTCCTATCATATAGACAACTAGTAATTCTATTGTCTAAAATTAGGATATGGCAAGTTTAGAATTTTTTTGAGCAAAGGAGTTTGGTTGATAGTTCGTACAACTCATTTTCTATAAGAGAGGAAAAATGATGGGAAGATGAATCAGTCAACTTTCTGATCCATTTCATTCTGCCATTTTTTAAATATAAACCTCATTCTTCAACTCCCAGAATTCCCCAGCCAGCCATGTTGAGGTCCACACATCTTCAAGTTGCCAAGGTTGAGAAACACTGATTTAAATTGATGCATTCCCCCCCACCCTTTTATTTTTTGAGCTAGAAAGTACATCCCAGCATTGTGGGAAATGAGAAATCCAAAAGATAATTGAATCCGGTTTTTTAGTCTGGTCATGCAGACTAAATGATCCACCTTAGTAATGCTGCTGTCCAGGTGATTCTCTCCTTTCTTTGTCACAGTGGCAAGCTGAGGCTGTCCAGGGAATAATAGGGGCTATAAAACAGTCTTAATTCAGTAGACAAGACCTTCAGGAAACTTGCAAACGCTGTTAGATTTTGACTGTTTTTTAATCCTGCCTTTATTATTTTTATAAATAACTAAAGGTGGCGAACATACCTCATACTCCTTCCTCTTCCTATTTTCCCCACAACAACAACCCTGTGAGGTGGGTTGGGCTGAG